TTAAAATTATTTAGCTCATTAACATAAGTATTTTGTTCAGACGCCGTTTGCTATCTGTCTTTTACAATCTTTACATAAAAACTGAATACCATACCAGCGTTGAAAGTTAGAAATTGCTATCTCTTGTTTTTATCGATCAAGCATAAAAAAGTTACACTCTTTTGTTTCGTAACTTTACAAATCGTTAGATAGTTGACTAGATTAAACTGTCTCTGTGGCCGAATGGTTACCATGCTGGTCTGCCACGCAGAGGTCTCGATATTTCTTTTTATAATATCAAGTCGACGGGACGAACAAGTCGCACGCCTGATGGTAAGCTACACGCCTGTCCATAACAGTTGCAGTGCCACTCAGAGCTTTAAATCGCAAAGATCTGAGGGGCAACGCCACTGCACCTGTCACCCTGAGACGTAAGTTGACAAGTCTCATGTGCCTGTAATTTCTCCAGCACCCTTAGCCTTTAAAACCGAAACACGGTAATGCGGACATTACTGATTGGCGGCAGAAATAGGTAAGGTGGCAGTACTACCCTGGACGAACTCTTTACAATTAGCTCTACTGCTACACAAAACGTTCGTTGTTCGTTTCCCAGATCGAGAGATATATTTGTAAACCCGATTTATTTCTCTCGTGAGTTTGGGTGTCATTTGTGATTGTCTGTGTGTGACCTGTGGCGCCCGCGACACAGAGTTTCCCTAGTGCGGTGCTATAAAAAAAATTCAAACACAATCCAAGGAAATTGTGTATCAAAGAATTTGGCATGCTTGCACTATTGTGCATTAATGCAAAAAATTATATTCGATCAGAGTGTCGAGTTTTACAAATCCGAATTATTTGCAATTTATGTACGAAATTTAATTTGGTCGTGATCAGGCTTGGCAAACTTGGAAGTCCCTAAACAGGCTGCGGACCCAAGTTGCCCGAAGCAAGGAGTGCATGCATGGGGTTTTACAAGAGAGTTTTTAGAGAGCGCATGTCCGTGTGGTGTCTCTCCTCAGACAATGATACATCTTTTGTCCTGCCCTTCGTGTTTCTACACCTGCACACGCGAGGACTTGTACAACGCCACTGATGATGCTGTCCCAGTCGCTAAGTACTGGTCCTCGCAATTATAAACGTCATATTCGACACACCAAGAAGAAGAATTTCAAAATTGCTTTTCGGTGAAGGAAAACATCGTGAAGAAATTCGCACACATCTGCAAACATTGTAATGCGTATGTGACGTTTCCACTCCACATTGGGCCCGCGTGGGCACCACAGTCCAAGGCTTCTCATTGTAAGAGGAGGTCGTTCTCAGCATTGGGACTACACAGTGTGTAATCATTAAGTGTGTGTGTGAAGCGACTATTCCGTATCTTACAGATTCTTAATTTTCAATGCAGAACGCGTTACTGCAATAAATAATGGAACGTTGTAGTTCGTAAATTCATTAATGGCCATTGAATACTAGTCTTTATGTATAATAGTAATTCGTCCGCAAATTTTATGAAAAAATATAAAAAACCTACCATCTGCTAAAGCTTCAAAGTAACTTTGTCTCATATTGTAAGGGCGGCTTCAAATTAAATGCTCATAGAAGCGCTGGAGTAGCGCCACTGTGGCGCTGCAGTTGCGTGACTACTAATTTTCATACAATATTTAGAATCGCATTGCAGCGCCACTGCCGTTACACGCGCGCGCTGCTTTTGCAGTCACAATTTATTAGTGAACTAAAAATTAATGAAGTGCTACGGACGCGCGATTTGAAGGCACCTTAGAAACAGATTTATTTGTTTAATTATTAGCAACACTAACATTATGTCCACAACACATTTTTGTCTTATTTGTTTTGGGTGTTCTACATTGTGTACACAACAAATAAGTGTCGATAGCAATCTCAAAACAATAATCACAAACTAAATTAAAATTTTTGACAAATTAAATTAACATACGTAAATAATTTAAATTAGCAATAGAATACACTGAGCAATAAATACTATAGGAACTCGATTATTTTTTAATTTTCTTTTTAGTTAATTTCCTTTTCATGGAATCGATATTATAATTAAATATTATATATCAGCACTGCTAACATTTCTTTTGGTGACAGATACGTTTATTTAAAAATCGATTTACTTACAGATTTTTGAAAATCAATTTCTTGGTTTGTTACATGTACAAAACCTTTATTAACTAAGTCAATAAATAGGAAATTCCATTCAACCACACCAATTACCTGGTCTCAAATTAGGGAAGTCTCTGTACAATGACCACTAAACTAATGAAATTAACTCTAAAGGTACAATTCAGAACACCAACACCAGAATCTGTCTACAAAAGTTTGTTTCCTAATTTGATCCTATCAGTAATCGAACACGAAACATCCTCATCAAGCGTGCATTGTGCTAACCGACGAGCCACCAAGATCGTGAAATATAGAATAATTAATTAAGCAACTTTGTAATTTGAACTTTTTTCTTTTCGGTCTGTATTTTTCCGAGAGGGGAAGTAGGAGTACCAAAGCACGGGATTTGCCAATGTTGGATCCCAGTATTCAGTATCCAGTTCAATATTAAAATACCTACTTTTCACCCCCATTTATCCTTCATACGTGACATTGTGGCGAGGCGAGCGGACCGGAGGAGAAGCGAAGAAAACTGGCATTTATTATAGAATAACAGTCTTTCAAAAATATACGATGCACCTAAAGTTATTGTCTAAAGACTGTGCTAATTTGTTATACGATGGTATGTTCTTCATCCGATCATATACAATCCTGAAAACAGTCTAAAATACTACAGGGGACCTGCTACATTTTGGTTTTCAACGTAAGCCAACACATTGGTGTTAAAAGTTATTAAATATACATTTATCCCAAAATTTAAAACATTGCCCAACCGTTTAAGGAAGCGCTGCGCCAACCGCTGTCCCGTCAGTTGCCAACGGTCACTTGTTGACGTCGGATCTGTGTTAAATTTTCTCTACCTGTTCTTATTTTAGTCATAAATATCAATTTACAGCGCACAAATTCGGGACACGAGTGGCGATCCCCCCATATCTTAAGCGTTAGCAAGAGGTATTCCTGCCAAAGATTTACGCCTCCCTCCAAATGTTCGTACTTTAGAATTGAAAGTCGTACCTCTTAACTGAGAATAAACCGTAGGGGAACCCACTGGTTTGCCACCGCACTTATAGTAACTTGTACACGTTAATTTTGCGTGATAATATAAATTATTTATGTAACTTAACCTTCAGTCTTCTCTACCGTAGTGCTAATTATACCTAATAATGATTTGTACCGGGATACAGAGGGCGTGGCAAAGGGCTCGGTCCGACGCCGAAGTAAAATGCACTTGGTTAGAAAATAAGCGTAAAAAAAGGCGTACCGGGAGGTCCGATAGATGCTCGTACAGAACCCGTACGCTATTAAAATAATCTACTATGGTCTAGTAGGTTCCGTACACACATTGTTTCCTTAACTACTAAGTGCGTTTACGCATAGCATCCGATTCGAACCCGAGAAAATGCGAATATTCATAAAGAGCAGAAGGAAAATCTAAACATAGCGTTTTAGAAAAAGCTTAAAAGTGGTCAATGCCATCTAGCGGCATCGTGTTGAACTGACGCTCCGTTACAGATTTACAATTCACGTTATATTTATAGACAAAATTGTCAGTGTTGTATGTTTATGAAAGTAACTAGTAAGCTGGAAAAACCTACGTTTATTTTTATTTATTTATTTATTTATTTATTTATTTATTTATTAGACACAATACATTTATCATTACAGGATACATTCCTTACGATAAAGTAGCACATTTTTTATTTATTTAATATACACAGAATAATAATAAATTACATCTACTTCTTTTTATAACATATAATATAAACAGTTAACCTAGTGAATTCACTCAAAGAACATGAGAAAAGGTCAATCATTTCCGCTACTACATTTAGTGTATGCAGTGTCCTGGACATCGCCGATTTTTTAATAAGGTCAGTTCCAGCCGTCGGCACGGCCAGCAAACGGGGCCTACGACGTCTCCCAACGTAATTATCTGGGACACAAAAATTTATAGTGGCTAGTAACTCCGGGTTGTATATTTTTGCATTCAATATTGATAAAATATACCGGGCTAGTGCAAATTCCCTCCTAACGCTCAGTTCGTTGTACCCCACCATGCCCAAAATAAATAACGTGGGATACATAAGTGGGAAGAAAGGATACACTCCGTACTGCTTAAAATATAAAAATCTCAAAAACTTTTTTTGAACCCGTTCTACCATCAGCACATATTTAGCTTCAAATGGTGTCCATATCATTGAATTAGTTTCCAACTGGCTCCTAACTAATGCATTATATAACGCTGTAATAGCTTTGACGTTACTGAAGCCGCTAGCTGTGCGCAGTATAAAACCCAGTTTGCGGAAGGCCTTCTTACAAATATCTGTTATGTACTCGCGGAATGAAAGTGTACTTTTAAGTTGCACTCCAAGATCACGAACCTCTGATACCCGCCTCATGGAAACCTTATCAACCGTATATGTGTACTGTATTGGGGACTGTTTACGCGTAAATGATTTATAAATGATATGTTTATAAAACTTACCTATTGCTTTTAACTAACTGCTTACAAACAAATGACTTAATTACGTGCTAATAATGAGCAGCGACTGAGATCAACATAATTATAATTCAAAACTTATCCAAAAAATAAGACTCGTTCATCATGTCTGTAACTTTTCTTGTTGATCTTAAGTTTCGGTGTTTACGTCTTAAAATTTAAAACTACGACTAACTACTACGATTTAAAATTTTGGTATTTGGTACCAAAAAATATTGAGGTGTAAAGCAATTTGCAATTTATTTAGAGATATAAAAATTTTAAATAAACAGTTCGATAGAGCTCAAAAACCTGAACAAATCTGTATATGTATCTCATTTTCGATATTCTATCCATTATGCCAATTGAGTCTAAAGTAATTGATATATAAAATTATTATTATTATTGTCTACAGAGTGCGATAGTGGGCTCCAGGGTGACACTCCCGTGCCGAGTAGAGAACAAAGTTGGGACTTTGCAATGGACGAAGGACGACTTTGGTTTGGGCACGCACCGGAATCTCAGCGGATACGAGCGGTATACCATGATCGGCAGCGACGACGAAGGTAGGTACATCCATAGTACCTTTCTTGGTACAAGCTTCATGTAGCTTGTACCATCGACTCACGATCTTACGCTTATCTCACCCATTCCTTCAGGTTTGAAGATAACGTGTCTTGCTAGAGGACGTTCTATGTTCTGGAACCATTTCTTGGTCATTTGGGTTCTTTAAATTTTTCGGTTTGTGTGTGCGCAGGCAGTGAATTCCATTTTTGGACTGTGCTCTTTATAAAAGATGACCAATTCTACTCCACTTATTTTTCTATGCTACCAAGTGACGGGACAAACAAGGTGCAATTGCAGTGCCACTAAGAGCTTTAAATCGCAAATATCTGAGGGGTACTCCTACTGCGTCATGTGTCTGTGATTTCACCAGCACCCTTCAAACCTGGAACGCGATAATGCTCACATTACTGCTTGGCAGCAGAAATAGGTAAGGTGAAAATACTTCCCTGGACGAGCTCTTTCACTAGGAGCTCTTAAAACTGAGAACTGCTACTAACTAAACCTACATGAAGGGAATATCAACTAAGTAAGGATGCTATCGGCTATTACTTGACTCTATCTAGCCGCGCGATCTGTTAATAAACGCCCTGTTAACAATATAATTTATTCATCGGTCAGCCGTGACCGTGACGTGATGGGTTGATGATGGAAAAAACATAGATGTATATAAATTGTTTTCTGAGTGTCATGTCTTCCTCAACACGGTGTCGTTTACAGTTGCTTCACCTGCTTCCGTTGAACTACAATTAAATGATTCCGAATGGACTTTAGTACAGTACGCTGCTCAAGTCACGGTCACTTCATTTGACGTCATTGGCAATGGAAAACGAACCTTATTTATGTGTTGTACACGTAAATTTACAGCATTCTTGCTGTCTCTTTACAAACTTCGTATAAAAAGGTAACAATTAACAGTAACCTGCTGTGGTATGCGAATCTCAAGGTTTCAACACAATGGTGAGAACGAGTTTAAGTATGTGGATCAGGGAACCAACTATTACTGTAATATTGCTACTTGTATGGGAAAATAGGTGATAATATGAACAATGTTTAAATTATAATTCATTATGGAGGTCATTTAGTTATCCAATCTTGGATGGCCTCTTTCTGCTTCTTCCACTCTTGGCGACCTTGTGCCCAATTCATCCAGTCCTGACCTCCGTGTCGTCGGATGTCATCCATCCAGCGTTGTTCTCCACTCAAGAACTCGCCTTGTCCAGCGCCTCTTGTCCATTCTCGGAATGTGCCCGGCCCATCTCTTCTTCGTCACGACAGCCCTGACATCGATCATTAAAATTGTAATTATAGAATATTAAAAACCAAATTGGAGATTTTTTAATTTTTTGATTCTGTTCGCGCTGATATCGAGGTGAGACGCTTATGTCTGGTTCACCTACCATCATTTCCTTAAACATTTATATTGCTATCCTTTTACCCTGCTGCAACTGAACTACTGTTCGTAGTTGGGACTGTCTACAACCAACCATCCTGGTAACGCCTTGGATCACCCATTGATGCTCCTTTCGCCGTGTTTTGGGAAATACCGCTTGTGTTTTATTGTGTTATTGTATTTCATTTTTTTTAGTCGTTTCAGTTTAGGACCTACAATGAATTGTTGTGAGACAGTACTACATGAAGTGTATATCACCATCCCGCTTTTTTGTCGTTACAAACCTATACTGAACTGTAATAAGAGATGATGGTAAGGCCCTTGTACTTTGACTGTACTTATTAAACACTCGGTGTTCAAGTGATCATAATCGTAAATGGTAGTCTCCTCTGACCGCCACTGCGCCAACTGAACCACCACGTGTTCCACCGCATTTGTCGGAGATACTTAATTAGGATGTCTGCTGGAAGTTGAAGAAGAGTGCTGCTAAAGACAATATGCGGGCACGAAACCCACCTCTAAGGTCAGTGTAGTATAGTTCAGTAGTCCAGCACACCTTCCACTTGCCGATCCGTTCTTCTCCAGACGTTTCTTTTCCATACCGTGCAATTCTCTTCTTAAAAGCGTCACAACGAACGAACCATCTATCAACTCGCTCCTAAGCAGCGCGTACGGTCATATAGTGATTGTCGCTTTGGTACAGACTCATTATTAGATCTCGGCGGTCATTCTCGGACTAGTGTTCTCTACCTAATTTCCGTGGTAATATTTATTATTTAAATATTGAAGTATGTTATTGTGTAATTATTAAATAATATTTCACGATACTGTATTAATAATGTTACTCGATAATAATATTGCTCGATAAAAAAATTGAATACTGACCGTCGGAATAAATAGAGTATAATCATGCCACTTTCGAGCTGTATTAAAAATGTGCTAAATTGTGTTATGAATAAGACACAGAGCTTTCCATTGGCTACAATAATTCAGTGACGACATTGAGCCGGCACACGATTCGTTAGTTTTTTGTACTAGATACGCCTCAATTTCTTTTTAAACCATCTGCACGCTGTGTGAGGTGGTTTTGAGATAAAACGATTTTGTAGAGAGTCATAGAAATATTGAATGAATTGTAAGTCATGAAATGTATTCCTTCAGGTTTACATCACTTTAAAACATTTACCATTTTGACTAACACTCGATATTCGTTTTATTTTCGAAAAAAAAGAGAAATTTTTCTTATAAAATTACACTTGGATTTTTTCTCGTACGCAAATGTAACTTTGTTGCATTTTTTTAAGTATGTGGGTGTGTACCTTCCAGAGATGTATAAATAACTATGTAGTTTCAATGTATTCCAGATACCAGGAGCTTTACTTTCGAAGCTCGAAATCCGTTGTCATGGCCGTTTTCTCACTATGGATGACCTTTCAAACATTTTGGAAGTCCGTCAACGAAAAGACGGACCCGGTGAAAAACTGTAAAACGTCGTACATTCTTAGTTCTAGTCCCGACTGAAACTCAAGTCTCTAGGTCGTCCATAGTAGAAAAACGGCCGTAACTACGGATTTTGTGTTTTGAGAGTAGGGCTGGAATATTACACATTGAACCTTGTAACCGACTGTGTGTGGAATAAAGTAAATAAAAGATATGCCTTGAATTAGAGACAAAGTCACGAACGAAAGGGTGATGCAACGTGTTGGTAGAAAACGAGAAGTGTTAAATACTATCAAAAGAAAGAAACTAGAGTATCTGGGTCATATACTGAGAAACTCAAAGTACGACCTATTACAATTAATAATCCAAGGCAAAATACGAGAAAAGGGAAGTATAGGAAGACGGAGCCACCTCGGAACTGCCACGTCAATGGTTCAATAGGAGCACCCGATCATTATTCAGAGCTGCAGTGTCCAAGGTTCAGATTGCCATTATGATCGTCGACCTTCATTAGAAAATGGCACATGAAGAAGTTGCCTTGAATTCTGTAATGAATAGTTTTCCTCATAATGTTTTCGTTATCGTTGAACCATGTGGTAATTTGTAACTAGAAAATGATTTCGAAATAACTCGTACGTTTATGTTGTGTAACCCCCCGTTCACACAACATTGTACTGCACGTTTTTTTTTGCAGTATAAATCTTACCGAATAATATATATATTATATAGAATTGTTCACACGGTGTTTGTCCTACAAAAAAAAAACGCACATGCACACAGCTCTACGTTTATCGAATACGCAACGGATTTATATATATACGAAACAATTTGCTTGATAAGGCAAATTGTTTGAACTTTAACGTATTCATTGTGCAGTGGCGCATAATATTAATGCATCTCTTTCACACGGCGCGAAGTCATACGTTTTTTACCGAACAAGCGGCGGCGGAGTCTAGTATTGAAATATCTTTTGGAAGGAGGGCACAAATAATTTTATTAATACAAAATAACTGGCGAATTTTCTGTGAACGATTTATTGATATCTTTAGTGGAATAAAGGCCCATTTTTTTTATCATTTCTCAGATTCTCGTACAATTTTTCAAAGGTGTTTGTACGCACTGCTTCTTGATTCATTGGAACCCAATACTTTTTATTCTTCCGGTGGCAAAGCCGTTGGCGTCTTCTATGCCAATATAAAAGTGCAATAAAGCGTGGATCCATCACAAACGTGTTCTCATGGCGATTGCTGTGTGAATACCGCGGCTATCCGTCTTTTAAACTCATGAAAATTATCGTGTGACAACCCAGCTGTCTATCCGTTTATAATCAATGAATACAAAACGTGATTTTATTCTTAGTCATATTTAATTGAAATTCTCCTCCGCAGCGATGATAGCTAGATAACACCTTAATCTATATAAAACGTCTGGCACAAATAAACACTTCCGTTACCTAAATATTCTACTAATAGTACACTGTACAAGTTCCCCATTTCTATACTCAGTAGAACCAATCCGACAGCGAAAATATTTGAAGTCCTTAGTTCAGATCAGTTGTTTTTATGATGTTAAGTGACGGGGTGAACAAGTCGTCCTCCTGGTGGTAAGCGACACGTCTGTCCATAGCAGTTGCAGTGCCATTCAGAGTTTTAAATCATAAAGATCTTAGACATAAGTTGACGATACCTCTGTGCCTGAAGTTTCACGAGCATCTGAATGCAGTAATGCTCACATTACTGCTTGGCGGCAGAAATAGGTAAGGTGGCAATACTTCTCTAGACGTACTTAATCACAAGAAGCTGTAATTCTACGAACTGTATTGGGCTTTGAAAAGACCTTCTTAAATTCCCTTTGAGTACTTTAGTACTTTAGTACTAGGCCTTTTAAGGCCTATTCTGGTGTGCTGCGGCATTTCTCGATTACGAAATAACGTCGCACCCTCATTTGTACAAAGAATTTTATTTCCGGTATCAATAAAGAGATAACAATAAAATGAAAGTAATATACGTTTAGTTTTATCGATTGTTTTCAAAATATAATTGATACAAGTCTTTTCAGTATAAAATGGAGAACAAACGAGGGTCAAGTGTGTTTTGTTCGACATAATTAAATTGAACGAAACGCATCGTTGTCATTGCAGTGTCAATACAATGGCTTTACTAGCATTCGGAACTTTACCCAGAATTATAACTCTATGTCCTGAATTGACTCAACTCGGGTATAATAACCCAATGAACATGAAGCTTAATGCCTACAAAATATAATTAATTGAAGACTTGACGTATGCTTACTTGTTTAAAACAAACAAAAGAAAAATTCACCAAAAATTTCTGGTTTTAAATGTTTGCCTTCGATTTGGCGGAAAGAATTTAAAAAACAGCAACATTCTTCGTCATAACATAAGTCAAATATCCGTAAACACTTGCCCATTATCTGTCTTGTTTTGGTACGACGTCGCATTCCACATCTCGATCCTATTGTTGTCCGACCACTATTTTCATATCGAGCGATGATGGTCGACTTATGTGTATAGTGTTACTATTAAAAAGTGTTTGTGTTCGACATTTACCTAATTTTATTTTATATATTTGACTGCGTCTTAATCGCTTCCTGTGGTCAGCGAGATATGTCTTATTTTTTATTTTTTTTATTTTATATGGTACAACAACTACAAATAATTCTTTGGACAACATATGTAACATTATATCCAATTATAATTGTACACAACATTCACATTAGAACAATATATAATATAAAAGGATGTTAAACAAATTAAGGACGTTATTTTTTGCTTATACTAGTGTACAGTGTTGTTTTGAAGCACATACAATACTACAGAATCGACAATCGACGCATTCTCCATAATGGTCCATTCTGAGTAACATTGTTTTTTTGTGAGTGGTAAATTAAACAACCGTCGAATACGCATAAACCGAGTAAGTAGGTACCCCAAATTGCAGGTGTTGGATTAGCTGAGAATCTAGGCAAGAGTTAACAATATCATGTAAAGTATGTAGCAATAATATTTTTAATCTAATAGAAAAATTCAATAAGGCATCCCTTTGCTTTGCGACTTTGATTCGTCATATGTGGTTTTATTATGGCAAATCATGTTCCATGATATTTTTTTCTGTAGTATACTTAATTCTTAGAACAACACTGTACTAAAAAAGCTTAAATAAAAAATATCGTCAATATTTTCTTTAATATCTTTTGGTGTCGCCATCTCTGAGATCCCAGGTTCTATCCCGTTCGATCAATGTAGAAAAACTAACTTTTCTAGATTGTCTCGGGTCTGGGAGTTTGTGGTATCGTCGTTATTTCTGATATCCATAGCACAAGTGCTTTAGCTACTTACTTTGGGAGCAGACCACCCAAGTAACACAATATTTATTTATGTACTTGCATAACACAAATTTGTACCTTAATTATGGGAAAATAGAGATGAATATGTGACGTTGTCTAATAAAATTAAAAAAAATTCGACTGCATTTTTTTGTATGTATGTTACGCAATAACTTTGTGGACCGATTTTGATGATTCTTTTTTGTTCGATAGAGGGTATCAGTGTTCCCATTTAAATTTGAAGAAAATATTCCACGTCTAAGGGTGGCAAACTAAGGGATGAATCCGGTTTCGTGGACTTTCCGGTAACCGATTTCAATAAAACTTGACAAATAGATGTTAATTCCACGAACTTTTGAGGTCCGTATCCTCTCTCAGTAATAGGACTTATATAATAGAGAATAATAAATATTAGAGATTTGGGGTGATTAATGAAAAAAATACATTTTATAGAATTGAATTAACGGGCATCATTAGTCTAAACACTTTCTTACATTCACTAATCAGACACAATTGTGCTATCAAAGAAATCAGAATGTCGTGCCGTCATAAGAACAGAGTTGTGTGAAGTGTGATTGCGTGCATCACCGGTGTTGTTCGGCACAAATACTCTGAAGAGTTTACTTGTGTGATTAGAAAACAATAGAAAACCAAGACACGACCTTGCGATTAGTAACTGTAAAGGCATTTCAAGCAATAATCACCATTAACGCAACGGTCGATGACATTCTGCGTAAAGTTTTATTTTAAAGCCACCCACGGACTCGTAAAAATGGAACAAAGTTACATTTGCGTGCAAAAAAATTTCAACTAACGTTTTGTGTACAAATTCTTGTAGTTCCTTTGAAGGTATAGAGGATATCGGGTGTTTAGTTAAGTTTTTCATATGGAGAATTCAAAATTTTAAGCCGGATATACAAAATGATTGGGTTTTGTTGTGGAAAAGTATTTCGTTTTCGTACTAATAGTATTAAAAGTGAATTGAATGTAATTTCCTAAATTGTTTCTACGAGATCAGTAACAATCAACGATATCTATGTAGGTAGTATCGTACTAGATGCGGCGTTCCATACGCACGCTGTTTCATTGACGTGCGGTGAAGACGCAACCCTTCAATATCATAGATAAGCAACAGAGCATTCTGACTATACAATAACAGAGTAGGTATAATATGAATAAAATATTTACTATGGTTACCATTACATAAATTTAAAAAATATTAAAAAAGTGTAGACTGCATGGTCTAAAGACTTTTGCCATTCCGCAAGGAAAAAGTATGTAGCATAAGCTCAATAATTTCAACAGCTCGTCTGAAATTTTTCTTTTATTTAATTTGTTTTCCTTTTTAGTAATATAAGTAATAATTATAAATAGTAAGCGGAAAACCCCTGAGTCAAAGCAAAATGGAATGTATTGTGCAACTAATAGCGATTTTAATTCCCCAACTATGGATAATACATCATTGGTAAACACTCAATATCATCTGCCTGCCTACCTCATTCCCAATAGGTATAGACTGTCATGTCTGTCCACGGTACTACGGTCTAATACTCTTTGACAAAATTCGACACTGAAACAAAACATCACTATTGATAGTGTTTTGTTTTGAACATGCAGTTTCTGTGAATGTTCTTGTTTTTATTTATTTCTTCACTGAAAATTTCAGTGTGGTAGTAAAGTTTATTTATTCTTCTTCTTCTTTATCGCTTTCTCACTGCTGAGGATCGTGACTCCACTACATCCTGCCAATTATCTGTCTCCATCGTTTGTCAGTCAATCGCAGTTGCCTGGTGGAGGGCTGACAGGTAACTCCAGTTGTTCGGAGATCTGATCAGGACCACCGTTTGGGACTCCTGCCTCTAGCCGTACACAAACTTGTACAACCATGTAGGGGTGATATCCCGCCTTAAATTTGGCTTTCCGATTGCAAAAAGGGGCGGGCTGAATGAACTGATGGAGGTCATGGCCACACTCATGTAAGTATATATAGTTATGAATAGACTTAGTAGTGCATTAAATATTTATTTATATTTCTGTCGCCAAGTAGTAATGTGAGCATTACTGCGTTCCGGTTTTGAAGGGTAAGGTCTGTAAAATACAGGCTTACGGGGCTTTGCATGTTATGTCTCAGGGTAACGGGCGCGGTGGCAGTGCCCCTCAAATCTTTCAAAGGGTATAAAACCTCGCCAAAGCGAAAGCATAATGTCTCGCCACTTTTGTTATAAGTACGACATACAACCCAAGTAGTACTATTTTAAAATTTGTTTGCATTTCTTAGCATTTGTAAACATACCTTTATGCAACTGTACAGGTATTTTGTTTAGAATGTCAGGCAATATGTACTTCGCGGTCCTCATACCACATGGATTAATGATTCTAGACAGTTGATACACCGGTAGGCAAGTAAGGCTACGTAATCAACTTGATCTATCTGTTTTGGTAAAAAAAAAATATATGTTCGAATTAATCCAATATTAGGAAATGAAACTATTTTTCCGGATTAAAATCGTGTATATTTGTTTTTTCAAACAAACCCGGGCCCTTTACAGGTCCCATGGTCACGGTAGACTGAGGTGGTTCAGTCATCAACCAGTTACGTCTAATATTAATGCAAACCACCCTATTTTTTCCACTATGGTTACAAAGGTTATTAATTAAATACCTTATTTTTAATTTTACAAAGAAACATTCCAATTTACGCCACAATATGTTTTACAAATGATTTTATTTTAACAGTATGATTAATACTGGATCCCAAACTGGTGGTACGGAGAAACCATCTTCCCTGTTGAAATTAGGATGTTTTTTAACGTCAATGGCCTCTCGCAGCAACCTGGGTAGATAACGGTCTTATTTGGCAAGGACCTGGGGTTTGTTAAACTTCATTGAATGTGTAGGCTTATCCATGACATGTTCGCAGACTGCAGTCTGGTTTACACGACGGTGTCTGACATATATGTTCTTTAACGCGGGTACAAATACTTCGTTTCGTTTGTCCAATATAAGAGAGACCGCTTACACAGTCAAGCTAAGAACCCGATATGATACTGCAACTGCTACTGACAGGCGTTCCGCCCTCATTGTCATAAACAAAGCATTTACATTTTGGTAACTTTCAAGATATTGCACCTAAAGTCTTTTGCTCTTTGAGAAATGTCAATTGCACTGAAACTAAATAAGATATTAAAAAACCGATTAGAGGGGCTTGTAGATCTTGTTTCGCCGATTTCAGATAGGTTAATAACTCGATTTCTCTAAAAATGTCGATTAAGTTGTTTATGATAAAGTTTGAAGTGTTGCTTACCACCAAACACACGACTTGTTCGTCCCGTCCCTTTGTATCTTAAAAGTTGTGAATTACGTGTATTGTGAAGTATTATGTACATATATAATTAAACTTTTTTTTTGTTTCAGGAGACTATTCTCTAGACATACGAAATATTACACTCGAAGATGATGGTGTATACCAGTGCCAAGTTAGCTCCGGATTGAATGGTAGGTACCTTATTTATATTAATTGATTGTGTACCACCAGGGGGACTTAGATTTGCATGTATCGTCCTGAGTGGGTATCTACAGTATAGTTTATTTTTAACGTTATTTAAAAATAAACAGGTTCACCTGATGGTAAACGTGTTAACCGTCACCTATAATTTTATTTATATGTTATATTTAGTATTCTTAACATCGTAAAGATTAGTTCCTGGTCATGTACGAGATCTGAAGCAACATGTGATTGCGGATTTTTTTAAATGTTAAATATAATTTACGGAAGTTTGACTGCAATCTTACCTACGTAATGTTAAGCGACGATAATGCGCTTTTGTCTATGAAATTTGAGATCAAAAATGTAAACATAGAATTATGTCTCCATTACAAAAAAAATATTTTAATAATCGTACAAACGTGAAAAGGTTTAAAACAATATTATCAAAAATAAATAAAACAAGCGGAGTCTTGATTGCCACGTCTCGTGAATTCGACTTATAGTCTAGTGTCAAATGTTAGTGTCGCCAAGGAGCATATAGATGTCGCTGTCATAATTTTACGAAATAAACATCGCGTATTTTAATTTAACGAGAATATAATTTCCTATGTACTATTAAATAAAATGTAGAGATATATGTAAATAAATAAGTTCAACTTAACTTTTAACCATTACATATCAATATTTAGACAATAAATTCGAAAATAATATTATTTCCATTGCATCCGTGTAACTATTTTAAGATTGATAAACTTGCTTTGTTAAAATCGCGTCATAGTACGAACTGAGTGAATAAATAGTCACAAAGCTGCCAATAAAACATAGTTTTAACATTATGATAAGCATACTTTAAGCGTGTCATGTCACGAAAAGACAATGTAAGGTTAAAGTAATATTGTTTTAAGTGGTTGTGGTAGGCCTCCTGTTTGAAGTTTTTTAAGCTGACGTACTTTCGCGCGCGATTGGCCGTGTTCGTTTTTGTTACAAAAGAAAGAGCGTCCGTGTAGAGGCTAATAGCGCAGGATAGACAACGTGAAACTGGCGCTTAATGGAGTGCACGATCGCGCGCGCGACTGATGAACGCAATCGAGGTCTTTCCCTTTTCCTTCCAGCTGTATCACGCGCGATAGTCTGTGTAAAACCCGCTCCATGGTGTTAATGATATTTTTATTTCCTTTTAGGTGAACCTCCCATTCGGTCCCGCTACGCCCATTTGACGGTATTAGTAGCACCTGATCCACCTAGAATTGTCCAGGGAGCCTTTATAGATGCTACTGAAGAACAACCTATTGTTATAGAATGCGTATCGTCTGGAGGAAAACCTGCTGCCGAGGTGAGTTTTATCCCAATACAGTATATACAGCAAAATTAACTTTATTATTATTTAAAGTAAGAATGTTATTAATTAAAGGAACTTGTTACTTTTTTTCATTTGTACACCAACAACTGCTTACACTAAAATAACAACTAAAAGTACATAACGTTGGTTAAGTACAAGAGTTAATTACAACAGATAAATATTGTAAACACGTAGTTAAGTAAATTAAGTTGAGAAGAAATAGTGATTACGTTTTATATAAAAAATACTACTTATTTAATAATTGCCGAGAACAACATGGAATATCATGATAATTATGTTTTACTATCAAGGAATTTAATACAAAAATCGACCAACACAAAGACTTTTAGTAACATTAACGCTCCTTGTGAAAGAGTTCGTCCAGGGAAGTACTCCCACCTTACCTATTTCGGCCGCCAAGCAGTAATGTCAGCATTACTGCATTTCGGTTTTTAAGGGTAAGGTTGATGGTGAAATTACAGGGACCTGTCAACTTATGTCTCAGGTTGACGGGCGCAGTGGTAGTGCCTCTCAGATCTTTGTGATTTAAAGCTCTCTGAGTGGCATTGCAACTGTTATGGACAGACGTGTCACTTACCACCAAGGGCAGAAGTTGTCCGTTCCAGTATCATAGAATAGACGCACCGAGACTTGGTCTGCAGACACTGCTTCGAGTCCAATCAAGAAGGATTTTTTCTTTGTGTTGTTCAATGTTCAGAATGTTCGATTTGTTGAGATCGAACATTCTGAACATTACAAATAGAAACGTCAAACGCTAAATTTCTACCAAACAAATAATCACAAGTATGTCAGAAATATACATGCCTAATAGAAGGGTCACGTCTTATTTAGAATAAACAATTAAAAACAGTTTCATAAATGTATGTCCTTAAAGTACGAAATACATACAATGCTTTCATGACGTACATTGAAAAATGTGTTATAAAATACAGGACTTTGACCTCCTTTATTTAAAATACAAAATATAATCGTTATCACTTATCGAACACTTGGAAAATATCAATTTCAATATACCTACGCTGGCACGTTTAACGGTACACTAATAAAATGCCCAAACAATGCAGTGTTTTCTCAAAAGACTGGCTTTTTTAATCTAAATTGAAAATTAAACTTAGTTGAAAAAGTTTATTTTTAAACTTGATTCAATCAATGTTAAACTCTAACAATTTTTAAATTTTCTACCGATTCTGCTAAGTCTGCTAAAATCTAAAAAAATGCACTTCAATTTCGATATTTTTTCTAAAGGTTCAAGTAAGCCTGTACAACGTCGATGTTAAAAGGTGTTAATCAAATTGCTACTTTATGTATAATACTTTGTTTTCATGTCAATTCCACCGTAACCTAAACTATAGTTTACATGTTCGGGCAACGCTACTGAAAAGCCGATTCAACAAATAGTAACAGTCTTTTTGCCTGCTACATATATAGGTCACCCAGTATACAATGTATAGCACCTACGGATGTTAGGTTTACGTGCAGGTCTCTCAACAACACTTCTCTCGTATTTATTAAATATAAAGCTTACTATTTTATAGTCTCAATTTTTTGTTGTTCCGTTAAATGTGTATAGATCCGTGTGTGTAGATTAGCATTATATATGTATATAAAATACAAAATACGTATTTATACATAAAACCAGTATTTCCGTAGCAAGTATTTCAAATGCCGTCCCGCCCTGCGTAATAATAGTGTCCATACAATAAAATTCAGGATTATACTTCATAATTATTGCTTACAACGAAAAAAATATAAAAACTAAGTAAAAGCAGAGTGTGGTTATATGGTATTATGGAACGATGAACCTTGATTAGAACGGCTATGGCTTCAGCAGGGGTGCGCCTCATTTGTGTGAAAATGAAATAAACTAATTTTAATTCTAAAACTGCCTCCATGATCGAACGGTTACCATTCTGGACTGCCACGCAGAGGTCCCGGGTTCAATTCTCGGGCCGGGAGAAATATTTGTATGATATACATTTATTTCTTTCGTGAGTTTGGGTGTAATTTGTGATTATCTACGTGTGTGGCCATGGCACAAACGACACAGGGTTTCCCTAGTGCAGGGCTATGAGCGTGTGATTCCCTTGGGTACAATCGGTGTACTTTCCCGATCGGTCTACTTTCGCTATTCGTCTACTTTCCCAAACGGTCCACTTTCCCATTTCGTCTACTTTCCCTATCGGTCCATTTGTTTTACCCGATTCGTCCATTTCCTATTTTGTCTACTATCCAGATCGGTCTACTTTCCCGATCAGTCCACTTGTCCAAATTGTGAATCCGGTTTCGCACACTTTTCGGTAACCGATTTCAATAAAACTTGGCAAATAGATGTAATTCCACAAACTTTTGAGGTCGGTTTTTTAGTACTCTGTTCTGAGATTATCTGAGTAGACGCATCATTAAAGTAGACCTATCGGGAAAGTAGACTGATCGAGAAAGTAGATCAAACGGGAAAGTAGACCAAATGGGAAAGTAGACCAAACGGGAAAGTAGACCAAACGGGAAAGTAGACCAAACAGGAAAGTAGACGAAATGGGAAATAGATAAATCGGCAAAAACATGTGGATCGATCGGGAAAGTAGATGAATAGTGAAAGTAGACCAATTGTACCGAAGGGGTGTGAGTTATTACTATTATTATTATATTTATTCTTGTTCACAGATAACATGGGTGGATGGTAACCAAGCAGTTATAAAGAAGAAGAACATACAAAACAATGTAGAAACACTGCGCGACGGCCATAGGACTACCACAAGGCAAGTTACTGTATTTGATTGTCCATTTTTGTATAGAAATTGTGGTAGGCTTGTAAGTTCACTATTTTACCTGATAGGTGGCTTAGAAGATGCATGTTTAGTCTATCATCATCATTATCAAACCATTTTTACGTCCCACTGTCTGGCACGGGTCTCCTCTTAGTCGAGGTTTTAGGCTTTGGCATAATACGAGTTGGGGACTTGAAACCTTTCCGAAGGTTGTGAACCTCCTTGTGAATGTGCAGGTTCGTTTTTTTTTCACTGAAAAGCTCATGGTTCATTTCAAATTAAATTTCTAACGTAAATTCAATAAAATGTACTCATATTGAACCTACGTCCTTTTTTCGACAGCAGGTGGCTCAAGCCTAATGGCTACCCCGAATTTTTAGTGTAGTCTATTTTTTTTTTGCCGCTGGGAAATGCGTTACACATACCGCTCGACTCGGGGAAGCATCGAGCGGTTATGTTCGTCCAGGGAAGTAATACCACCTTACCTATTTCTGCCGCCAAGCAGTAATGTGAGCATTACTGCGTTCCGGTTTTGAAGGGTAAGGTGACACGGGACTTTTCAACTTATGTCTCAGGGTGATGGGCGCAGTGGCAGTATCCCTCAGATCTTTGCGATTTAAAGCTATGAATTGCACTACAACTGTTAGGGACAGGCGTGTCGCTTACCAACAGGCGCACGACTTGTTCGTCCCACCACTTAGTATAAAAAAATTATTAAAATTTATTTTTTTATTCAAGAATGCCCAGTGCCCACAATAAAGCGACACGTACCATTGTAAAGTACACGTCATACTTTTCTATAAATCCAGTCATATGTCGTTTCTGTACATCATGAGTGTAGTTTTTATACTTTGGTGGGCCATGATCTTTAATTAAAAAGGTAACTATCACCCAAGCACCAATTAATGTACTGTAGAGATCATAATGTCAGTGTAATCTTCTTGCGCTTTGGGCATCTGGCCGTAACCGTATATTCAAAGTTTAAATTCAAATAACGTTTGTCTTGTTGGAGGTTGTGTAGTTCCAGTACGGCTGACGTAATCTTATTACTTGTACAGAAGAAAATGTTTAAGGGTCGCTACAATCTCAAAGTACTTTGACTCCACATAACAAAAGTGAATTTTCCAAAGTAAAGTTGAATCCATCACTTTGAAATGGAAATATTTGAATTCAAGCTGACGGAGTATCGACTCTTAAATTTAACTTTAACTGCCTCTGTGGCCGAACAGTTACCATGCTGGACTGCCACGGTTCGAATCCCGGGCCGGGAGAAATATTTGTATGGCCTGCATTTATTTCCCTCGTGAGTTTGGGTGTAATTTGTGGTTTTCTATATGTGTGTCCATGGCACCCGCTATACAGGGTTTCCCTAGTGCGGGGCTATAGATGTGAGCAGTATTATTATTACAGTTTTATTAATAGTATTGTAAAAAAAAACTAGTGACCCGTCACTCTGAGACATAAGTTGACTAGCCACTAGGAACGCAGTAACTGCTTGGCGTGGCAGAAATAGATAAGGTGGCAGTCCTCCTCTGGACGAACTTTCACAAGGAGCTCAACTGCTAATAAAAACTAAGACTATCATATACCACTACCTAAAACCAGGCAATGAAACTGGCTGGTACATTTCAACTACAACACTTAATTGAAATTTTACGGTAAATAAAAATTTATACGACAAACAAAACTGAAACTAAATAACATACATATAAAATTCAACTTATGCTGGGGCTGCGGACTAAATTGGGTTCTAAGAACAAGGTGCTTAAAATGCCCAACCCGTATTAAGTTCTACGTTAATTACACAATTGAGTTCTCCCACAGATCAACCCTGCGGTTAACCCCTACAAAGGAGCACCACAACAAGACTATAACCTGTCAAGCGCAGAATACCGCAGATAGGGCGTATAGGATGGCCACTGTCCACATTGAGGTATGGCATAGCAATTTATTGCATCAAAATAAACCTTATTTATTTAACCTTTGATGTAAAAAATCTATATTAAGATGTTTATTATAATCAATTTTTAACCGACTTAAAAAATGGAGAAAGTTCTCAATTCGACCGTATATTTTTTTTCTTTTTTTTTGTACTCTCTTTTTTTGTTGGAAAGAGAGTACCTCACAAGTGGTCCCATTTAAATTTGAAGAAAATATTCCACCTTTAAGGGTGGCAAACTAGGAGATGAATCCGGGTTCGCGCATTTTCCGGTAACCGATTTCAGATGTAATTGCGCTCACTTTTGAGGCCGGTTTTTTTAGTACTCTGTATTGAGATTATATTTCTTAAACTTGATCTAGTAAAAATATGTAGCGTCAATTGGAATTATGTTTTTTTTTTTAATTTGAAAAAAGATTTTTGGAATCAATTATTTTTAATTATAGTTGAGAATCGGAGTGGTTTGCATTATTAGATATAACTAGTTGACTGCAAATAATATCTCGAACATTTTCAGAAAAGTATTCGTTTTTTTTCATGCAATAATGTATAATATTCGAGTACTGTATCGTGAAATATTATTTAATAATTTTACGATAGTATATTGGCACAGTCATTAGATAGTGAACGTTAGTTCGAGAATTACTTGTAAAGAGTCGGAAACATTGGTTGAATAAAGCATATAATAGACGATTTACTTCTGAAATAATTTCATTTGCAATGTGTAATAATGTCAAAATTCTAAGAACTACTTAAAGAATATGTGCAATCAAGGGGTGGAGGCCAGGAGTCCAAGTTACTTGGCAATATTAGCTAGGCACTTGTTTCTCACTCTGTTCTTCTTAATTGTAAGAAGCAAAATAAACAAATATAATAATTATCATTACTACTATGCAACAATAGGAAGATTAAACAGTAGTTGCAATTGTAACATTGTCGTTAATATATAAAAAATAAGTTTTCTTTTGGCTCAATATTTTGATTTTCTCCTTTAATTAAAAAAAATCAAATTTCCTCAAAGAATGTTTTCTAATTTTGTATCGAACTGTAAATTGAGAATCTTGCTTGCGCATTGATATGCGCTAAGAAACTTCATGTAGATTTAATACAAATTGCACCCATAATGGAATAAGACTACATCTGCAAAATTACAAGTTTTAGAGCAGTTACACACGACGACTTTTAGCAGCGATGCAAACGCGGTGCAAACGCGATGCAAATGCGATGCACGCTAATTGTCTACCTTTACACACGCGCATGATTTTAAGCAGCGATGCAATCGCCTATAAATCGCAAGTGTAGCGATGCAATCTTTCGTTTGCACTCTTATGAGAGAGGTAACTAAATAATTTCACCCGTCGAATATTTAAAATTCGACAAATGAAATTAGTAGATGACTTTTTTATGCTTAAATATGAGTGTTATTAAATTACACATATTATTTTTATAACTTTCACGTGATAAGAGCACTTTAACGTATGATCGCAAGTAGGTTTGTTATACCATGGGTATGAAAAAGGTTATTTTTCTGTACAGGTAAAATATGCCCCAAAAGTAAGCATCAAGTTGAAGTCCGACGAAGAAAGGGTAAAAGAAGGCACCGAAGCAAGATTCCTGTGTTCAGTAGACGCCAATCCTGCACCTCTGATTTACCGATGGTACATCAACGATAGCCCGGTCCTTGGAGATTACGTCGAAGAAATGGTAGAGTTATCAGTGATTCTGATCTTATTATTATAAATATTTAAAAATTATTATTGGCGAGTTGGCTGTACATTAAAATGTGCGCTATAATGGAAACGCTTTGGCAAATTAAACGCGTTGAATTTATTTTGAAGTCGAAAAAAACTACAATATCGAAAATGAGACGAGCCAGACAGTGTGAGAAGAAGCAATTGCCGAAATTTGGAAAAGATAGACAGGCGAAAAGTTAGACAATACTTCACAAAAGAAATGAAAAAATAAACTATATTTACAAAGGAGGCTATCTCACAGCTGATCGCCAACAATTATGGTGTAAAAGATGATTTAGTGACCAGAATAGATAGGAGTTTGGTAATGTAGAAAGAATGAATGTTGGTAGATTAGCGGCACAAATTTATAGAGCGAATGTGTATGGAGGCATGGGGAGAAGTAGACCTTATCTCAAACAGATTGGGGATCTCCTTAAAAATGGCCAGGTTAAAAATACCAAGAATAAAAGGGCATGTATGAAGAGATTGACCGAGGTAGACCGAAACAGACTTTCCGTTTATATCGTTGTTTATATCCTTGTTGTGGAGATTTTTGGTTTTTAACGACTTTAGAGAGATGAGAAATCTATTAAATTTTTCTCCATTCAACCGGGTATCTATGATGACTAGACATGTCGGTTTAATAATTGTAATATTAAGTTATTAAATATCACGATGATTTACTATTCAATTATGTCTTGTGCAATTATTCCACTAGTTTGTTCTAATTATTTATTATACAAATTGTTATTTACAATTTTCATTTTCCCCGCTACGAATAAAAAATAGACAACGTGCAATTAAAAAGAAGAGCAATACATAATACACTTTAATTCTCTCTTAAAACCTGCAATGAACATTGTTCTCTGCAGCGTTTTTCCGGAATATTGTGCATGATATTGCTTGAAAATTTAATGAATTTTTCGATTGAACGAATTTTAATTCGTATTTCGTGCCAGTACAAATGCACTATTTAAATCAAGGTTATTTCATTAAAATTGTTTTTGACAGTAATGTTACGTCACGCCATGTTCCCGGTGGTAAATCCGTCGGGCTATAATAATAAGTACAAGGTACTAAAGCAAAGTCTATGTATCTATATATCGCATTTGAAGAGCTCCGTAGTCCAGTGGCTGGCACATAGGTTTTCATAGTGTCGCCATTTCTGAGGTCTCAGGTTCGATCCCCTCCCAGGTCAATGTAGAAAAGTAGCTTTTCTATATTGTCTCGGGTCTGGGTGTTTTTGTGGTACCGTCGTTATTTCTGATTTCCATAACACAATTGCTTTAGTTACTTACTCGGAACTTATCGGAACAACGTATCTGATGTTGTCTAATTAAATGACACGAAATTAAATGAAATAAAAGAATTTATTTCAGACAGTAGGTATAGTTTGATGTCCATATAGTGTTAAAGGTATTATGTTACAACTATGTTAGTAGAATGCGAAGTGTCATTTCCATGAACAAGGATAGACTTGCATGATCTCTACTACCATCTTAAGAAGATTTTAGTGCTGCCTCTCCGTCTGGTCAACAGGGATGCGAACAACTGCTTGAAAACTATCAATCCTAGCCTCCGCGAACATCCCTGAGGTACTACATTGTGGAGGTAGCCCCAGCGATCCCCTGAGGGCGTCGTTGAATCGGACACGCAAGGCACTGTATTTAAGAATATTTATCTTTGTATGAGTGTCTGAAACGGCATAATGGCTGTGCATTTGGGGGCGCTGGTTTCTTACGTACGTGTGAATGTTGGGGTTGATGAAAAAGGACCAAAGTAGGATTAATGTAGTAGAAAATGAGAGCTTTTAGAAGTATGACTGGAGTGACTCTGATGGATAAATTACGGAACAGTGTGAAAAAGAGATCGTTGCGGTGTGGAAGAAGATGTAGTGAAAGATAGAGTAAGTGATGCTTAGATGGTACATGTAGAGAGAATGAATGAAAGAAAATTGACGAAACAGATTTATAAGGCGAGTGTGAGCGGGCAAGTTGGAACAGGCCGACCAAGGCGAACTTACCATAACTTGACCAATTTCGAGCCTTCCTAAAAAAGGACCAGGTCAAGAGTACCCATGACCGACGAGCATGTATGAAAACATTGATGCGTATTGATGAGGTGAAAGATCTGTGTCAAGACTGTAGCAAGTGAATGACTGCTGTCTCTGCTTACTTCAATGGGAAAAAAGGCCTGAAGTATGAGTAAATGCTTTATGTGCTTTCAAAATGATTACAAGATTTCTGTGTTATCAAAGAAACAACATGGTCGACGCGACTCAACTCATGCGCCAAACGCACATCTTTTTCGCTTTTTTTGTGTGGACATGCAGCTTTTTTTGACCAACTCGATTAACGTGGTGATTCCTTAACTTCCCAAAGATATGCAAGTGAGATATGTTTACTTCTCAAAGATATGTTTACTTGAAAAAGATACACAACTTCTCATACAGGGTGTTAATGAATTGCGTTGCATCCGAAAGCGGGTAAAACCACCCATTAATACTGTCGATATATTTTGGTCGAGAGCATACAAAAACACCAGGTAGCAGTAAAGCTTCGTGTGAAAAAGTTTAAGGTTAAGGGTACTGGTGAAATTACAGTCACATGGGACTTTTCAACTTGTATCTCAGAGAGATTGGGCTCAGTGGTAGTAGTACCCTCTAACCTCTGCGATCAAAGCTCTGAGTGTCACTGCAAATGTTACGGACAGGCGTGTCGCTTACCACCAGGCACACGACTTATTCATCCCATCACTTAGCATTATAAAAAAGTTAGTATTAATGGATGGCATACACCCCTCTTCGTATGTAACGTACTTGACACTTTATATCTTTGTACCTTTTAGATGTTCCATATTTACATAAAAATTGCGAATAAATTTAAAATATTGTCCCGGCATAAAAGCACGAACCTGTGCATAAACAAGTTCAAACGAACAAAACGCAGAGAAATGCAACAAATGAAATAGGGTCAGATTTTTCAACACGACACGGTTTCATTGCTCATGCTTGGTTGCACTGCAGTATGAAATCTGCAATTCTGAATATTACATTCCCTATTAATGTCTTGAAGTCCCTCAATTTGTGTGCTTTTTATACGAGTATTGCGAGTCTTTCCGAGTATTTTCAGTAATTGAGTTGCGCGTATTTTTTTTTTGACAATTTGATTGAGTTGCTTGCAGACAATGATCACAATTTTATGATTTTGGAAAATTCGGTCAAGTTTCAAATGCTAAGGTTAATGTGAATCACAATCCAAAGCTATGACTCACTAAATAAGAAAATCATACACACAGACACACAGAAATTAATAAAAAAATAAAAAAAACTTCATTTATAGAAAAACATGTCGCACTTGACAATTAACATAGTATTATCTCAAAAATTGCGTTAATCTGCAAAATTTCGTTATAATGACGTGTCATTCATGTACGATTTCATTTCAAAGTGACAGACCAACACTGTCGCTTTGGAACTAAATAGGTAATATTAATATAAGTTAAAGCTATTTTGAGATAATACTATGTTAGTTGTCATGTGTGATGTGTACTTTACAGTGGTATGTGTAGCTTTACTATAGGTACTGTGATTTATGGAATTTTGTATTTTTATATAAAAAAAATATTTTAGTGCAAAATGTTTTTGGTCATCCAGATATTTAGACTGAAAGTCTGACAATAACCTAATTAGTGTTTTCATACAATTAAAAACAAGTTTAATAATAGCAAATCTTTGTTGCCTTGTTATATAATACGTTCCACAGATTTTCAATATTTGTTTTTTATGTAATCTTTAGTTTTTATATAAAATTTAAAACTAATGTAGTTTTTGGACGTAAACATTCATTAACTGGGTCAGACTATGGGCTATGATCTTTGTTCGTTTGAATTACATTTTATAATAATAACTATATTTTTAACCGACTTCAGGAAAGGACCCCTCCTATTCTGAATTCGACTGTACTTTTTTTTGTATGCATGTTCCGTGTAACTTTGTGAACAGATTTTAATGATTCTTTTTTTGTTGGAAAGAGTATCTCAATAGTGGTTCCATTTAATTTCCCAGTTATTTCCCAGTTAATTTGAAGAGAATATTCCACCTAAGGATGGGAAACTAGGGGACGAATCTGGTTTCGCGCACTTTCCGGTAACCGATTTCTATAAAACTTAGCAAATAGATGTAATTACACGAACTTTTGAGGTCGGTTTTTTTAATACTCTGTACTGAGATTGTAATACTAAGAAATGTATGTACAGTCGCTAGAATGATAAAACTGATAAAAGATTTACAACCGTTTGGTTTGCCTCAGATAATCTTCAACGTATCCAGAAAGTACCATGAAGCTGAAATAAAATGTGAAGTCAGCAACACAGTGGGTAAAAACGACTCATCTCTAAAGTTAGAAGTTAGCTGTAAGTATTTTCGGTCTTAATATACTTAGTAAAGATTACGTATAGATTGTTTAAGCCGACAACAAAGAGGGAAGTTCGCAATTAGACTGTTATTTTTTTACTATTCTTTTTTGTTGGAAAGAGGGTATCCTAGTAGTAGTCCTATTCAAATTTGAAGAAAATGTTGGAAGGTTGGCTCAATAGAAGATGAAACTGGTTTATAGGATTTCACCCACTTTCCGTTAGCCAATTTCAATAAAACTGGGCAAATAGAAGTAATCACAAAAACTCTTGGAGGTTGAATTAAAAAAAAAAAGTTGTTTTGTAGAAATAAAAAACACACAGAACTGTAAGGCGCATTCCAATTTTTAATTGGTTCGGTTTTTTACATTGCGGCGTGTTGTAAAAATATTTCTTTTATTCTACTTAGATCCACCATCATTTCGAACCCGACCACGAAACAAAGAAGCGGATTTTGGTAAAAAAGTAACACTTAGTTGTGACGTAGATGGACAACCGACACCAGAAATAACTTGGCTCTATCATGAGCCTGGGCGTATCGACGTAAGTGACTACCATGCTTCACAATTAGGGTGATGCGCTACGTATTTTTATTAAAAATAAATGTTACTCGAATTGTGCAATCACTTCACAAAATAAAATAAAAAACATGGACCGTATTTTTGAAATTCACTGTGTGTACAAACCATGAATTTTAATCGCTAAGGTTTTTCATATGGCTTCCATTTATTACTAGACAACCTGGATAACTAACTAAAAAAAAAAATTTAAAAAAATGTAAAAAGAGGGATAGGGGAAATATCGGAAAACAAATAAAAAATCATACGTTGTAAAATACCTGTTTTAAACGATGACATTTTTTTTTATTATATAACGAACTTTAATTGTCAATTTTGGTTTAAACTTGATTGTGTTACATGAACGTGCAATACCCTCCAGCAGGTCAAAGGAGAAGCTGCAAACCTGGTGATAAATGTAACCAATGATACAGCTGGACGATACATTTGCAAAGCTACTGTGCCGGGATATCCACCTATACAGGATGAAGTTACTGTGTTTTTGAAAGGTAATTTTTATAAATTGTTTAATATCCATATATATTAAAATTAAGGATATACACTGATTAGTATACGGTGTGAAAACACGATTCCTAAAAATGTTCAGAATAGAAAAGAAAAGAAACACAAACTTACCTCGAAATTTCACAAGACAACCGCTGTATTCAATAGGTCCTTTACATTATACCATTGACTTACAAATAAATGGACGATGGGTCTAATACAGAAACCACGAAAAAAATGTCCCAAGTCAACCTATTTAAACGTAGTGACATGTAAAGGAATATGAAAAAGCTAAAACGATGAATTTAAATTGTAATGTCATCGCAGTACTGTCTAATTTTGCTTGCTTCGCTGTCAGTCGAACAAACGAAGACTAAAGCGTGAATGACGCTCTGTATACGATTTTAACGCCCTATAAGTTCTGACATTTTTTAGTGCGGACCCGACGTCCATATAATTGTAAGTCAATGCATTATGCCGATGATTTTTTTTAATATCGTATACGATATATATTTGTCAAATGGCTTTAATGTCGTTTGTAAAAAAATAAATTCTGAAATTAAGCCAGTGTCCTTGTCGCTCGACCAAAGTAAAATGAACCGTATTATCACGAGAAAAAATTGAATATATAATTGAAATTAACTTTTACCATACCGACGTGGGCAGTTAAACATCTTTTTTTCTTTTAAGCAAAACCCGAAATTATTTCTAATCGCACACAATTCGGACCTGAAGGTGAAAGGGTGACAGTGGAATGTATAGCTATCTCCATACCGAAGCCTGACGACATCACTTGGTATTTTGAAGGTCGACAGATCAATGCTTTCGAAAATCCGGTGAGTAAATACCTTGTTATACAGCTTTTATTTTTTGAGTAGGGTATTTATTTGGATTGGTTTTTGTTTACAGGCTTTAGGTTTTTATTACTTCAGCTCCCTATCTTTGAGTTCTGAGGTTATTAACTTTTTCCTTAATTGATACTTCGATCACTTCATCTAGGTGTTTTTCTACCTGTCTTTTCTTTTATAATGCTTCTAAGAAATGTCGCATAAGATTGCTAAACATCTTTCCCTTGCGGTTTTCTATTGTCTTTAATAAGCCCGATACAGAACGCAGTAGCGAGGGTAAGGGTCGTCGTCGGGAAGACCGCTTGCATGTTTGATGCAGATCTAAAAAGCGTTGATAGTGTGGATGAATTCGAACCTGCGCCTTCAGCATACTATGTCAGGCGCTCTTGCAACTGAGCTACGGAACCAACCATTACCACCACATACAAAACAATTTATTATGTTTTTTATAAATTATTATGGAATGAAAGTAGTTGTTTACGATTTTAGTAATGTCCTGCGCAGAGATGGGCAGTGGGTTGAGACTCAATCAACCCGCTCGGGTTTTAACCGGGTTTTGACCCAAGGTTTTAACCCATTTATGCCCAAGATCGTTGGAGAAAACGTCTAATACGGAACTTGGTATATTTCCATACTTAATACAAATTTCAATGTAAAAAATCTTGTTTGGACAAAAAGAGACAACTCCACACAATGCCCACCTTGCAATCATGTAGATGCTCACTTACTACTAGGGATGCACATTACAATTAGATTTTTATGAAAATTGACGCGTTCTTTGTATAGATGCATTTCAATGTGATTTTTAAGCGAATCTATTCAATGGAACGGCGAAATATGTAAGCAAGCAATAAACATTTTGCTATAATATGCTATATTACATTTGAGCTAAACTAAAAATATTTACAAATATTTAGTTCTTTAACGCGGGTATGTACAATCTTTTTAATTTTTAATTTTTATTTATTTATTTAACACACATTTCACAACAGCACACTTGATAAATACATACAGTATTGTAAAAACCATAACTGGTTTGACTCAATAGAATTAGAGATGAACTCACCATGTTCATCTCTAACCAGATACAAAATTTATATGTACTAAAAAATTAAGCTACTCTAATAATTAATCTAAAACAATAAGTGGGTATTTCGTTAAAAAACAGTTAAACCAATTAGTACATCGATATATCGTCCTATCGTCGTGCCGTGTATCCACAAATCGCCAAAACCGGTTTGTCACCATTACGCCTCACACGGGTCATTCCCATTGTGCCATTTATGATTGATTATAATTCGTTAATAATATAATCAATACAAACATTCCATTAATAATATTATATATAATATAATTAATAGTGTAATTAATTAATAATTGACCAATTAATTATGGTATAACTTCGTTTCGTTTGTCCAATATAAGAAAGACCGCACTCACAGACAAGCTTGTAAACTTCTGCATCCTGTATGTTACATTTCACGGGTCTCAAGAACTGAGAAATCTTCCTCAGGGGCTTGAAATAGGTCTTGATAGATGCACGCCTGAAGACACTTCCGATCGTGTCTGTAACACCTCTCACGTAAGGTTTAATGGCAGATCTTCGCTCGACTGTTGGTGGTTTCACACGACGCCTGTGGCATAGGCGTGGAATCTTCAACTTATTCTCATGTAGGCATGCAAATATTTAAGTAGTTGTAAATAGTTATTGCCCTCGATTTCCGGACAATAACTATTTACAACTAAGTACTTAAAACCCAGCGTTAACAAAGCGCTGGGAGAAAACCCGGGTGCTTGCCCACCCTTAGTCCTGTGAGGTTGTTATTATTTTACAAATAACTTAGAATACATTGTGTAACGATTTTAATGTAAAAAATAATTTTTTTTGTTAATTTCCGTTGTTCTCAGATATATGCAATTCTAAACGAACCGTTGGAAGATGGACTAATAAACGTGAGCCTTGTTATCAAAACGAGCCAATCCAAACATTTTGGATCATACAACTGCAGTGTTACCAATAAATATGGAAACGCCAATGTTGCTATTGTGTTAAAGCCTTTAAGTAAGTTTCTTCTGAAAAAATTTGTTATATAGCTTATAGTCCTAGCCTTTATTTCTTTCTGACCACCACACTTCTCTCCTTTAAGCTCAAAATATTGTATGATGTCTATTTAAAGCATCAGACTGTCTATCACTTTACACATTGGGACTTCAAGTTCCTGAAGTTTCTTAACTATTATTTATTTTATTGAATATTATTTCTTTTATCATATTTTGTGAAGATACTTCACTAGTTTGATGTTATTATTGACACAAAGAACGAACAAATATATAGAAAAATTCCTTACATCCGGTTGGATTCCAACCAGCACATGTTTGCCAGGCTAACCGCTCTCCCAACAGAGCTACGGAATCTGTCTCTACGAATCAGCAGACCTCAAGAATTTCTCTATGTGCTTGGTGCCGATCTTTATTTCTTTATTTAAAAAGCGTTTTTGTGTAGCACCATATGTAAGAGACCTATCTTGTAATTTTATAGTGTAACCTACATTATGTCTTAGTTATTCTTGCACTACATACAAGTTGATTTGCGATGTTTTTACCTTTGCTTAACCTTTATCAAGTTGTACGAGGTACTAGAACAACATGATAGCGATACGTATTTACTAGCTAGATTCTATTTCCGTCAGATTAAATGTTCATTTAACCCGTCAGTAACAGTCATCACCACTTTATGTCTAATAGGCTACTTCTTCTTATCGTATCGATGATATACACTGCTTTGTTGCGGCTCAGAATCAATTGACGCTGACCGCGTCACTAGTCGCCGCTATAGTGAACTGTGTATGGGACACGTTTACTATCGCGTTAAAGGGACTTGCCAACTAGCGTAAGGTGCTCGCCAATTGTTGCAGAGGCTCCTTTCGAGCACCTCTATAGATTACTGAAAAACGAATTTAAATTGGGTCTTAGGGTAGCTTTTAATTAGTCGCCTATAGTAGCGCTGCAGTGGCCACTACTTATTCTCATACAATATTTAGAAGCGCAGTTGCAACGTCATTGTCGTGCACGCGCGCGTTATTTTTTGGAGTCACAATTAGTGAACTAAAAATTATTAATTAAATAATACTACTAACATTAAAATAGTGGACGACGCCGATGTAACATGCCGCGGGAACAGTTAGCCATCCACTTGTTATTTTATTTATTTATTTAACAGAGAGATCATCAGCTTAAAATAATATTAAATAATAACATCCGAAAGCCAATTTACATATAGAAAAATAATAAAATATTTTCGTGCATAATTTAACTAACCTATTATATAAAAAACCTCACTATTAGTCAAATCAAAATGGTTCTAAGTTATCGTCTTTAAAATACAGAATCAGCCTCTTAACTTTGTTTTTGAACTATTTTGAGGCGAGCTGGTCTGGTGTGGAAGCATTCAATGGGCAACAAATTACTTTTAATCTACTTTAGCAAGATATGAAATCGGACGTAATCTTAGCTATTATATTTTATATATTTAAATGAAAATGAGGCTCGATGAAATTAGGATGATGATTTAATCAATTTAATTACCAAACTTTTTACAGAAACCCTTCCCCTCTTCATAATCCTAATCGGAGTAACAGCAGGCATCATATTATTCTCGATATTCATAGCCTCAGTAGTTGTCTGCTATCGTCGCAGACGCAAGATGCAACAACTCAGTGAAAAACCTGATGTAACTGTGACCACTGGAGACATGTACAAAGAGAGCGACAGGAGTTCTAACATTAGTGACTTGAAACTTCAATTGCCGCAAAGTGATGGAACCTATGAGTTGGTAAGTACCTATCTGAAATAACTTTATAGATGCATCTGTCTTGTCTGTCTGTTCTGCGACAACAACACTTTTAAGTTTAACTAATATTGCAATACCTCCTCGTTTTCGATCAAACCAATATTTCAACCTTCACATAAGGCGCTTATAAGAAGTGCTGCAGTAGCGTCACTGTGATATGCAGTCGCGCTACTAGTAACTTTCGAAGTCTGTTTTTCTCAGAACATTGAATTTAAATTTCTTAATGTTGATTTTCTAATAAATTAGTTCTACGGAAAACAAAATCCGATGTTTCTTTGAAGATCTTTAAGAGTTATATTAGGTTGGAAATTATCTTTTCGTCAGCGAAACGTAACACGTTACGATGGGAGTGTTCGTATAGTCAGTACAGAGAGCCGAGCTGAGTGCCGTGAGTGCTCCACCTGGATGTTGTTGTTTTGAAGAATCCCTTTGAGTGTTACGTTCGTTCTCAATTTTAGTAAAGTACACACCGAAGCATCGTCGCGATTTATATTAAAGAACTATTTGGTTCTTTAATTGGTCATAGATGATTAATAATAATAATAATAATAATAATAATAATGATGATGATGATGATGATGGTGATGGTGATGATGATAACGCACACACTCACAAATGTGTCCGATTTAAATCAATCTTCATTAAATTTGAAACTTCTTTATGTATTTTTGTCACAAAGATCTTTATGACAAAAATACATAGAATAATTTTGATAACTCGATAACTTCACCCACAGCTTAGTTGGTAAGAGCAATATTACGATGCAGTATTGTCGTTGGTTCAAGTAACATCGGGTCGAAAAAGTTTTTTTGTGTTCGATCTTTATATTAATAATCAAAATTGCTTCATTTCCAATATGTAGAACTCGACTCTATTTGGTCACCAATTTGCCTAACAATTTTTTTGTCTATCAGGACTATACAAGTTCAGACCGTTCAGATACGAAAGTCCCAGTTGGTCTCCCGTTGGCAGGGCCAGTGCCACTACCGAACATACGACTCGATGATCCACTGCTGCAGTTTAGATACAGCAATGATTATTCCGATCCTTCTTATGCTGATTCTTATTTCAAGGTAAGTATCATAATTATTTCTTAAAATCAACAACTGCTGTACTGCTAATTGAAAACAGCTCCACAAACTTCAAAGCCACCACCACACACTGCCTTACACGATTGCGTAATTTTTTTTTCACTTGGTATATTCGATGTCATTTCAAAGGACGTCAATCAGTCGTGGGATATAATTAACATTTTTTTTAAATAATGTCAAGTGACGGGACGAACAAGTCGTGCGCCTGATGGTAAGCTATACGCAGTGCCACTCAGAGCTTTAAATCGCAAAGATCTGAGGGGCACTTCGCCCGTCACCTTGAGACATAAGTTGACAAGTCCCATGTGCCTGTAATTTCACCAGCACCCTTACACTTCAAAACCAGAACACAGTAATGCACATATTACATGACAAATAGGTAAATGTCACTATAACAACAAAAGGTATAATTAAGTTAAGTATGATAAACCTTCAGTACAACAAAGAATAGATAAAATGATGAATTAATGCTATAGATATTACCAGCTTAATGTATATGCCTAATTTAGAAAATGGCACCCCATGACGAAGAATTGGTATTCAGCAGTTTTGATTGGAAGTTAAGGTTGTGCGTATATTGGGAGTATACTACATTATATTTTTAATTTTCTTAGAATCCAGGAGGATTCGTATACGACTACCCTCAGGGGTACGCACCTCCACCACATTTAAGAGTTCAGTCGCCCACGCATCTTGAAGTACCACCAGCAAACAGGTAATAATAACTGTGACATTTTCATTATAAACGTAGCGCAAAATAATTCTATTCATTCATTTGTTGCCACCATTATGTCAAGGTCATATTTAATAAAAATGTGTTCCTATGGACCCCGTTCGGGCACTGCAAGATTTAACAATTTCAGAGAGAAACTTATGATTAAAGTAATCAATGTAAGTACATTACAATAATAATGTACACGCAATTCTATGTTGTCGTTTGTATATTTTTTATTGGATTCTTATAAATGTTGATGACTGTAAACTTCCCTATTACTATACTAAGAATAAAATAACAATGAACACGACGTCAACTTAATTTTTTGACCTTTTCTGTTCTTATTTTGTTTTTTGTTTATTTATTGTATTATTTCTTTATTTATTTTTTCACAAAATCCCTGTTATGTTTTTGTTTCCGAATTTTGTTTTTGTTTTTTTATTTCTTTTTCATAAAATTCGGGGAGCATAATAGTCAATAAATACGGCTGTTTACAAATAACAAAAAAAATTACCAAAAAATAATGTTGGCGCAGTGTTCATCCTAAAGATTTTGTTAAATTTATCACTGCGTTTTGTAATCAACAGTGTGACTAGGTGTGATCGACGTGGCATAATAAAACCCCATTTTCAGTATCAGCTCCAGTAGCTGCTGATCCCAGCTGAAAAGTGAGAATGAACCCTTATTAATCCCACGCATTTTTCACAACAGATCCCTACAGGGCTCTCTAACTCGAAGCATAGACACAACATCAACACTCCCTTTGTCAGGAGGATCTCAGAACAACAGTTTGCAGCGAATTAATAAGTCTGCTGATGAGACTGACGCTATTAACAATTTGGGACTTCCTGTTGGTGGCGAGAGTAAGTTTTTTCCTTTTTTTTTTACTTTCCTGTAGCTCTCTCGCTGATTTCTAAACCAAAAATAGTTATTTTATTTTTAAGTTTATTTTTACTATTTATGATGTTGTTCTTAATGATTCTATCTTTGTTATAATAATTATAACAAACTAGTGTAGTAATTTCACAAAACATATTTGAATATCATGGTAGTAAAACATCGTGACATTCAATAAACTTAAAAATTATAATTATTGAAGCAACATTTTTAGTCAAGAAATAAATTTTGGCACACACCAAAAATAAAAATTAATAAATAAAAAAATTATGATTTTAAACTTTTATTGAATTGATATTCCATTATTTTTATCTGAAATTACTCCATTAGTTTGTTATAATTATTAATACAAAGATCGAACACTTAGAAAAAATTCCTTCGATCCAGCCGGATTCGGACCGACGTCTTTTTGCAAACCGTGCCAGACGCTATTGTCTTTGTATTTGGTTTCTCAACGACCTTTTAACCGTAGCGCCATCTATGAAAAATCTATGAAAATATTTCGTCACCCAGTTAGATACCTCGCGTTTTCTGAGCAACGCAAGCCGATTGCGTAAACAAATGTGGTGACTTTCTTAATAATAATATCATGCAGTTAATTATTTTAATTGACTAATTGTATTAAATCTAATTTAAGACCAGACTGACGTGATTTTCAGGCACAATAATTATTTACTTTATTTTTTCTCCATAGCACCACCAACGCCCATATACGCTCAACCAAACTCCAAAAACTCAGGGGTGGACCTGCGGTACGCGGCAACTTACGGCAATCCTTATCTGAAAAATAGTTCACTTGGTAAGTTCTTTTTAAATATAAAATTTTTCATAATTTTTGGAGTGTTTTTAACCACTACCGGTTATGGCAGAAGACATGGAAATAACGACGACATTTTCTTTAATATTTCTCCTTTTATATTTAGCAGTTGTAGTGTCACTCACAGTTTTGAATGGCGACGATCTGAGGGGCACTGTCACTACGCTTGTCACCCTGAGACATAAGTTGCCAAGTCCCGTATTCCTGTAATTTCACCAGCAGCCTTACTTTTCAAAATCGGAACACAATAATGTTGGCGTTACTGTTTGGCGGTAGAAATAGCTAAGGCGGCCAGTACTTCCCTGTGCGAACTCTTTCTCAAGAAGCTCTACTGCTACTAAAAAATGGCAAGTCGTTCATATGAACACTGTTATCATAATTCAACCTTCTTTTAGGGTTCCTCTAATTATGTACGTCACTTAGCAAAACATCACAGCTGCTATACGTTACGAACTCATTCAACAAGACAATCGCCCTGGTGGGGTTCTATAAAGTATATGTTTCTCTGATTTTAGTTCTTTGTCATTAGGTTATGGCAACCAGGTGCACACAGCAAAGCCTGCGTCGACGCCCGCGCCGCCTCCCTACTCAGCGGTTAGGAGCTCCGTAGTAATTCCACAAGGTAGAAATTATAATTAGTTTAAATACGTAGAACTTTTTCATTGAATGCGTATTTTGATAGCTTTCTAGTATAGCAGCCTGTCGCGAGTAATAAAATAGACGACTCGGTCCACGTAAATTTATTTTCTAATGGGGCAGAAGAAAAGGTAAACAGGGCAAAAAGGAAGGCTGTAACAATAAGAATAACAGTGTAAAACACAGGTACAATGATATCAAAATACTCCTTACTCAAATTGCTTACAAAACATGCGTCAAACGATAAAAAAGAACTTACCCCAAAAGGGCCGTATTTTCTATAAATATTAGATAGGTTATTTTAAAAGGGGGGTAATACTGAGCATCGCTCTCTCCTTTGCCCGCTGAGTGACCTTGAGCCTTCTTATGAGGCCCATAGTGAGGGATCACGTTTCTGATCCATATGTGATCACTGGCAACGCACACTGGTCAACTGGTAAAACTAATCAGAATTCAGGTGAAGAAGAGCAGGAGTGCTCGCTTCAGACATTTAGTAGAGAGTGAAGACGGAACGAAGCAAAGTGATAATGATGAGGCAAAAGAAATTAGAGAACAATTCAATATTTCAAAAGTAAGTGGCCAAGAACCAGAGAAAAGGGCGATAAAAAGGTGGAGTGATTATGAAAGAGGTCGCATCGTTACAAGCCTGTCTCAAAAGTTTCTAATTCACCAGGATAGTGGTTTCAAAAACCTTAGACGGGACTGCGACGCAAAATTGACATATCGTGGATCTTCTCAACGCTTTTATGTGATTATTTTAAAACCAATGATAACCTCGTGTGTCATTCATAGTAAAATTCATAATTTTTTTGAACAAATCTCAGTAATAAGTCAAAGAAACTATTTTGGATTAGGCCCACTATTCTTGACAAGCAGATACAGCAATTTGTATCTGCACTCAGAGATGGGCAATGGGTTAAAATTCAATCAACTCTTCCGGGTTTTAACCGGTTAAAATCCGGAAGAGTTGATAGAATGAATTTAGAAAATGAATTTCTGCTCACGATTTGGGCAGAAATGGGTTAAAGCCCGGGTTTTAACCCTTTTCTGCCCAAAATCGTGGTCATTATCCGCGTAAAATAATTCCATACTTATTATAAAATTTTGATGCGTACAATCTTTTTTAGACGAAAAAGAGGCAACTCCACAGTACTCACCTTGCAATACTGTGTACTCTCGCTTACTACTAGAATATACATTAGTTACTATTCGATTTTTATGAAAATCGATTTAAATGTATTATGATCTAACGATTTTTTGTATCGATCATGTTTTTCAAGCGAATCGATTAAATATATTAGCAATATATGTAAGCAAGCAATAAACATAATTAGACGTAGTTAAGCAAAAAGGGTCCTATTCACAAAATGGTCAAAAAATGAGTTATATGTAACAAACGGTTCCTAAAGTCTAATCTCTTAGATGAGCAAAAAAATCCAACATATAAACATAAATAAATTCCTGTCTCTTAAGTTACATGACATATAAGTTTTAAAAATAAAACAAGAGTGAGAAACACTTTTAAACTTCAAACTGCCATATCCCAAAAGTGACTAAATGTGCATTGGATCCTTTTTGTTTAACTACGTCCAACAGTACTAACTGAACAAAACTCGATTTAGATAGTTGTAAATAGTTTTTACATCAATTTCAGGCGTTAATGTGTTTTAACGCGATTTAAACCCGGCCTTAACAAAGCGCCGGGTTAAAACCAGGGAGTTCGCCCATCTCTGTCTGCTCACGATCCGTTGACGATTGTATTATCCTTTACTCGCGTAATATAACTTCAGATAAGAAAGTTATTTACATATTCATTACCTACGTTTAATTAAAATTCCGAATAACCCATCACTTGACAATGAAATGCAATTAAAAATACTGTTATATATTAATGTACACTCACAAACGAAACCTAAATTCGGTAGATGCTTTTTAAGATAAAACTCATTAAAGTAACTGCTATAATTTTTCACAGGTAATGGCAACCAGCCGGCGCAGGCCACCCACGTATAGCACAGACTCCGACTAGTGTAAACTTATGGACAATTTAAATTTGGTATCGAATAATTTATTCGAAATTGTAATTTACAGTTTTATTATCGGTAAAAAAATGGTGAACAAATTTGAAACGGTAGGCTTGCATCTACTTATAATATAAATGAATTGGGAAGAAAAATTATCCTAAAGATTTAAATGCTAATTTCACAGGTGTTGAATATGAAAAATAGATGACTTTGTTAATGTAACATAGTATTTTTTCGAATAATCATTATTTCGAATGATTATTTCGAAGAAAACCAAATTAGTGTTGACAAAAATGATAATCTTGATTAATCGAATGATTGAACTTCAATACTACGAAAATTTAAAATCAAGGACAATGTATGTAGCTATTATAATAGCTATTTGTAATATAATATGTTCCTAAGTAGGTATTTAAACACTCTACGACTGATTGTAAATATTTCATTTTTAGATAATCTATATAATATTGTAAAGGGTCTATACACACGATCGATATTAAGTCGAATAATTTAATTTTATTAATTTTATTCGAGTTTTGAAATTAATAATTCATATTCGAAATTATTATATACCACAGGATTTTCCAGTGATCGTTAATAATTTAGATAATCGCTCGTCTGTATAAGCCATAAACGCTTTAATTAAATGTCAAAGATTGTAATTTCTTTAAAAAAACAAGTATTAGAGCGACAGTATGCCACATTTGTAACTACTTTGCCATATAATAAATCCGTACATTTGATCCCAATTTAAAAATATGTTTTTGTTTTTAGTGGTGTACTGTATTTCTTTATATACCTGTAACGTAGGACCTAGTAAAGCGTCATTTAGAGCATTGTGTTTCTTCTTCGAACTACCAAAAGGTAGATTTCTATTTTGTTTGTAATGTTTTGACTTATACACAATTGCTCAACTTGTAAAAACTTTGATTCCAATTTTCCAAATAATAATTATGTATAGATTTAATAAAAATATATACGAAAATGTATGTACTAAGTGAACAGACTGAAAGAATATGTTGTAAATATTATATACGGGATTTTCCATTGAATTATTAGATTCCGATACCCCTTGTGATATAAAAGTGAATATAAAAACTATTTATTTGAATACCACAAAGGAATTTGAATAGAAATTTAATTAGATAGCTTAAAAAACTTCAGTAAGTTAGAGAGGGAAAAAATATGGTTTTTCTGTGATAAAATAGACCTTAATGGAATTTTTCATGTAATTTCGTTATATAACGGTACTTAATCTAACTGGGTGCTAGATTTACAAAAGTCACATTGAAATAAATAAATATAATAAATCTGTCAATTTGTCAATATTGCACACTTGAAACTTTCTTAAATGAAATATTTTCAAGAATTATGCGGTGACTATCATAATTGATAGAATTTAAAATGTTTTTATATTGTTTGCCCTTTGTTTAGGAGCCTAATATTTTTGTCAACCTCGTATAAAAACACAAGTATGGTAACTCCGTACAAAGTAATAGTGCTGCTCGTATATATGCGCGATCGCGCCGTGTGCAGTCGCGCTCATTCGCATAATAATGAAAGGCGAGCTGGGACGACCAGTACTACTGGTATTCTCGTGTCTCGATTTCGCGCTTTATGTCACCCTCGCGCAAGTCGCGCCGTATCGTGATAAGTACAGTACAGTGCTATGTAAGGCGAGTGCAGCACGAGACTTACTATGTAGATAGTTAGCGATCTCGCGTCCCTTTCCTGGTAAAATCAATTTGGGAAATTATTCTAAATGTATTCTTGTTTAAATATTCTGGGTGATGCCCCGAGGTTTAATTTTATTCTGGTACTCATAGTATAGGGAATTCCCTAGTTGGAGCCCAAGTTATTGGTGTGGTCATCTGGCATATAACTTTTTGTTTTGTCTTCCATGTTTGTTCCATAAAGCATGTTGTGATACTTTAAAACAAAATTTCTAAAATAACTGCCTTACTTTTTACTCTTGAGGATAGAGTACTGTCTTGCTATCTCTAAAAATGGTAAAAAAAATTTTAAATCAATAAATAAAATATCAAATTGTAATCTCGAATTAGTTTCGACATTTAGACAGGTGACTTTTGAAAAATTTAGGTCATAAATTTATATACACCCATGTATTCTTCATTTTGTGTTTATATATTTTTTTGTATTATCTGTAAATTAAAATTAAAATAATTTAAATTTTATAAATATACATTTAAGTATCAAATTTAATTAGTGCAGATTTCGTTGTTTAAAAAAAATCTAAAATGTTTAAAAAATATTGCATGATACCGTGTTTTTGTTCTTTGCATGCCAATATTATTTTTGTCATATATACAGTTCACAGAATAAATCTTTGACTACTTCTAAATATCTTTTCTTTTTGCCGTGGCCGTGGGAGCTATAAAGAGCCCGTAAAAACAAACATACTTTTAAATCATAAAAAAGTATAATTTCCAAGCAATCTCAAAAGGCAAAGAACTCGACGTTAATATCTTTAATTTAAAAAAAATACATGATTGATACAGACAGTAACGAGGTTCTAGTGTGTACGCGTGAAACAGTCTTCGCTCGATACATAACACGATTCTTATCGTTTAGTTGGCATAGCAGCTGTGATGGTGCCTAATTGTGTGACGAAACACTTTCATAGATTTCTCATAGATGGCGCTACGGCTAAAAAATCATTAACAACCAGGTACAAACATCCGACAAACAAACACATCGAAGAATTCGTGAAGTCCGTTGGTTCATTCCGTTGCTTTGTTGGCATAGCGTCTGGCACGGTTTGCTAGAAGACGTCGGTTCGAATCCGGCGGGATCGAAGAAATTTTTTCTAGGTGGTCGACATTTGTATTAATAATTATAAGAAACTAGTGGAGTAATTTCACAAAAAACAATTGAATATCGTGGTGGCGAAACATCCTGGCATTCAATATGCCAAAAGTGTTATGTAATCCCGACGTAAAAGAATGAATTATGTGGTAATAAGCATCATTATTTGAATATTATATTATTTATGCAAAGTACGACTATCACTTAGTATTTTATATGTCACGCGTTTTGAAAAAAAAAGCCTGATAGGTTCCTCCGGCGACGTAACCCGACTCCTAGCTTTACACACACCAAAATGAATGCATTGCAAATAATTATAACTTTTTTATATATTATTTGTTATATTATATTATATATTATAGGTATTATCCACTTAATGACCCAATAAACACTACGTCAACTTAATTTTAGGACATGTTTTGTGTTTATTTTTATTTTTTTTCACAAATTTGGGGACATAATATTAGTAAATAAATATGTCTGTTTACGAAAACAACAGAAAACGACCAAAGAAATAAGTTGGCGTAGTGTTAATTGGATTTACTTTTGAAACCATAAAAAAATTTAAGCGTCACTTGCACGCCATAAACGAAAATCTCGCATTCCCAAATTAAACTTACCTATTTTCATAAAATTCATTTTATGAAAGTTGACTTTTTTGTTTAGTGACTCTATTAGTTTCAATGTGTGTATGACTGAACAATATTTTATTTCTGGTTACCAAACTAACTTATAGCGTTTTTTATTCAATTTTGCACTTTTTTGATATAAGATTGGCCATCGTTTTGAATCACACCGCAGCCCAAAACCATCCGAAAATTATATATTACCTGAATAAATTGTCTCTACTCCTGCCAACCAAAGTCCGAAGCCCATTTAAAGACTCTCATATTTGCCATGGCAATTCGTATCCAGGAGGAAGAGTTTCAGAAGGCAGGACAAAGGTAGATGGTACTTGTTCACGCTAAAGGTTTGAACTTCGCCCGAGTTGGCTCAATGCTCAGAGGATCGACACATTTGACGTAACATTTCCAGCTCCACAGTCTCTGTTGCATATTGAAACGATCGTGGGGTGTCGAGTGTCTACAACCATTTTGTATGTGAGTTGTTTACTGTATTATAATAATATACCTTTACACATATTGTACACGTAAAAAAGTTCTATCATTAACAGCCGGCCATCAAAAGCTCATTTTCTTGTTTTTTCGTTGGAACGAAGGCGAAATAGATGAAGATGTGATAGCTGTAATTTTCTATAAGCCGTAATGGTTTTGTGATAATGCGTTACCAAGTAAAAGATTTTATCTTTTTAAAACTTTCCGACCGAATACTGTTTCAGGACACGTTTTCATATAACCTAAGTAATTTTGTAATTTGTGTATCTTTTAAACGATTTCAAAAAAGGAGGAGTTTCTCAATTCGACTGTTTTTTTTGTATGTATGTTACGCGATAGCTTCGGTATTTGTGAACCGATTTTCATGATTTTTTTTTGTTGGAAAGAGGGTACCTCCATAGTGGTCCCATTTCATTTTGAAGAAAATCATCCACCTCTAAGGGTGGGCTATTCACGCATGAAGATTCATTTTTGTAAATAGCGCCTAAATTTTATTATAAGGAGCAATTATTTTAACGGTTCATTTTGCTATTCTCCAATTCAAGGCGTTTTTCTCTCTCAATACACTTTGAGATATATCCATCTATATCTCAAAGTATATTGAGAGAGAACCGAATATATATATATATATATATATGTATATCTATACCGATTTATATTATCTCCTGTGTCAAATCCCGTATAGTGGCGGACTAGGGGATGAATCCGGGCTTGCGCACTTTCCGGTAATCGATTTCAATAAAACTTGGTAATTATATGTACTTTCACGTACTTTCGAGGTCGGTTTTTTAGTACTCTGTACTTTTTTTATGAATAAGTAATTTTAATGGATATTACTTCATAGGTACCTTTTGGGGTCCGAATCAAGCTTTCTCGCTTTTGCTGTGCCTACCAGAGGCGTGTTTCCGAATGCGTGCGCAGATGATGATGATTTTTACGCAATCATCTGCAAAAACAGTCCGTCACACCAATGGTATACTGAGAATGATAACAGTAAAAATGGATAGGTTTACAGTGCTACATGTTAACAAATACATATAGATAGGGTAAAGCGGTATACATACAAACCATATTTGTATTGCAAAAACGAGTTCATTGTCTGTACCGTTTGGGTTCTCGGGTTTCTCTCAGAGAAAAGTTTAAGGAGCCTGGTATCATGACTGTGGCATCACAGTACATTTAAACCCCGTAAAAATATACATAATAATATTTTCAATAAGAAAGAAGATATCAATAATATTAACCTTAGAGCTAAGTCCAAACCCCTGGTACCACGATTTCGTTTAATCAGGGTAAACGACTCT